CTGGCAGCCATAAAGCCACTCTTTATTTCAGTGAAGGAAATAAAATCAGAATTTCTCTTCAGTGGCAAATAGATTAACCAACCAGTTGGTGATTTTGGTCTTTCTCATTTAGCCTGCATGTTTTGGCATCCTGTAGACAGAAGCTGGTTTGGAGATCAAGCCCAAGTCTCCAGAATTTCTGCATAGATGGAGATGGGGTGGGCAGTCATTTTGGAATGGGGTGTTAAGGGAACTTGTCTGGAAGCTACGTTTGCATAGCAGGCATGAATTTTCCCTTCTGCAGTACACTTGTTTAGAGGATGGCCTGGAGTAGCACAGCTCATGAACATCATGGCCCCCTCCACCCCTTGGGCCACCACTACCCCAGTCTAGCCATGCTGAAGGTTTTTGGATGACATTGACCAAGACCATCAGAATCTTAGTGAATCATAGGGCCTTTCTTTGCTTTTTCTCATTTATGACACAAGCCTGTTTTTCTTTGCCTAGGATGATACCATAAATAGCAAAAACTGAATGTGGTTTCCATTCCCTAAGGCTAGCATACATCTTCACCCTACCCCGCCTTCACACACACACACACACACACACACACACACACACACACACACACTCTGAACCATCCCAATATTAACAATCACATCTGCTCCCCATTCTCCATAATTATAAATGTAATTATCGTATATCATTAGCACATTTTTAAATGGTCTTCCTATCACATAGAAGTGATAAATCTGAAAACAGAAATGAAAAAGGTAGAATGTCAGAGTGAGAAGAAAACAGGAATAGCTGATATTTTGCCCCAGGTTTCCGGTACATTTCAGTGAGCCAGTGAGGCCTGAGTGAAGTGTGTTAATGATGTAGTTGATTCCATACGCTACCTCACAGGTGCATGCCTTCCCTTGCTCCATAGCTCACTGTGTCATTTATCAAGTCATGGAAAGCTTCCAGAGTGTTTGTTCAAAAGATAAAGAATGTTTTTTTTTGTTGGGGGGACAAGGGGGAGGAAGTTGATCCTGACCACATTTTTTAACAACATAAACACCTGAGTAAATAAAACCTGAAAGAGTGATTAAAGTCCGGGGGCTGAGTGCAGCACACCTGATGGTGTTGCCCGGCAACCTACTACCAGCCCTGGAGCAACAGAGGTCCAGGCTAAGAGGGAAATAGGGAATGTGTTCAGAAGAGCAAATTTACCGCCTGTACTCCTGTTTGCTGACTGTGGATGCAATTGGATAAGGGACTCTGTTTTAAAATGTACCCAGGATTTGTTTTAATCAGGGATGGTAAGACACACAGGCACAGAAATGACTGCCATGGAGGAAGAAGTTTACACTCACAGACCCCTAGAAACAAGAGGCACAGCAAACCACACGGGGCCACACGGGAGCAGCAAGGTTGGTCAGGACCAGAGGGACCAAGGAACGCATGGCTGAGAGTCTTTATTGAGGTTTTCATAGAAAGGAATGGGCGAGGCAGGGTAATCAGGGTAGACAGGTTTAGGATTGGCTGGTTTAAATAATTTTAGTGGGCTCTGGCCAATAAGGGTGGTTCCTAGGTGCCTAGTACCTGGCTCTGGGGTGATTTTGGCAGAGGGATAGTGTCCCATACTGCTAGGGACTGATAAAAAAGAGGTGAATGGGAGTATGGACTCAGGATTGGTTGGTCTGCATATCAAAGGCAGGCTCACAGGCAAATTTACTATCTGTAAGAATTAGCTAACCCTGGGAGAGGCAGTCCTTCCTCAGGTCTACAAAGCCCCAGATGGCAGAGCATAAGAATACAGAAATAAAATATAATTAATACAGATCCCAACACACACACACACACACACACACACACACACAAGCCAATGGTCTACCGTCTGTTTTGTGATGTAAGAGGCATCGGTGTTTTAGGGGCCGGTTTTCCCAGAGCATGTAGGGAACCTTACAGGGCAACATCAGAAAGATTTCCCGTTTCCTGTCCTTTGATGCCCAGCTACATTGTGAGCAAGCCTACAGTCGGTTTTAATGCCAAGCAAGGAGACTCAAGAAAAGCCATCCTTCCTTCAAGAACTGCGTAGAGGAGCCAAAGAACATGGAAGCATTTTATGCAGCAGCAGTGTGTAGTCCACAAGACACAAGCTTGAAAGGATAGCTCCAAGCAGTGCAGGAGTCCTATCTGCCCATTTCGAATGCCTCAACTTAGAAAAGTGGAAAATGCATTTTCCCTGGGTCACCTGACAGGTGTTACCAGCGTTCAGCCATGAACTCTGTCATTTTCTATCACACGCGAGCACGGCTAGAAAGCATTATCTGGGAAGATGGTAGTAGGCCATTGTTGAATGAGCTTCAGTAATGAGGATTAAACATTTGCAGAGCCTTTTGTGTTTATAAAATGGTGTACAAGCACTGGCTGGCTCCCTTGTTAATAATTACTTTGGGGGATTCTTCACAATGCATATTTAGGAGATGAAAGCTAAGTTTTGGATGGGATTAGGGGAAAGACAAGTAGTAGAAAAGCATATAGCACAGTCATTTTCAGCTCCACAGCCCCTGCAAGCACTGACAATCATTTCCATTGCATTTGATTCCACGTTCCTAATATTCAAAGCCCAGCACAAATACACACGGGGTAAAACCATGGTTTAAGCTTTACATTATCCACTTTTCCTCATTGGCTATTCGGGTCCTGATTTCTACATAGCATGGCTGCAGTTCAGGAAGCGCTCTGTGAGACCACCTGCCCACCCACACTTATGGGTTCTGCCATAAGGGATGACCCCGAAAACTGCACTGCATCTCTGGGCCTCAGTGTTCTCGGCTGTGGAATGGCAGAGGAAGGGAGGTACACAAGGAATAGGGGATCTGTACGGTCCTTACATCTCATATCCAATGAACCCATGACCTTGCCGCTTTGTCTGAAGCTGGAACATGTGATTTCAGGCGTCTTCTGCTCATTATCTCACTAAAAACTGAAATTGACATCAGTGCTACCACAAGCATGTGCATGCATGTACACACATGCGTACACACACACACACACACACACACACACACACAAGTTACCAGACTTTTCATATCAGGAAATTGAAACCCCGATGGGTTTCAATTGGTGGACTGGAGACAAATTCCAGAGCCACTCATTAAAAACATAAAATTTCATAAATCTTCTGAATTTTTATTCTAATCCACAGGTAATATTAGGGTGTTTTTACTTTCATCTTAATCCTCAAGTAATAGTGACCGTCTGGGTCAGCATTATCCTGTGACATTGAATATCCCTGGAGCAGCCCCTGGCGTGTCATGCCTGCCCTCAGGTGTGAGAAGGACAGTGTGAAGTCTCATGCTCCTCTTCCTGAGCTCCTTGGTGGGCCCTCAAGTCTGAAAAGAGGTCGTAGAGGGACCAGTGGACCCATTCCCCTCTGCCCTGTATTTTAATCACCTCTGCTAGTAGAGGCTGAAGTGGTCCAAGAAATATGATCAGAATCAGAGGCCCATGTGATAGTAAAGCTATTCTAGTGGAAGCTTTTCCATGACAGGCTCATCTTAAGTTTTACAATATAACTCTAATATCTGTAGAGACAGATATTCTGTAGAGCCAACAGTGGTGGCAAATATCTCAAGGATAATCTATGTATATATTTATACATTATTTAGAGTTGTCATTTTGAAACACAACTCTTTTCTTTGATACCTTCCTAAACATTTCACTATGCATAGCAAATTAGTGTAATTCAATACATTGCTGAGTCAGTATCGTTCTGAGAATAACTTCCTAATGTCCCTCTCCTAAAATCATGAGACTTAGGTACTAAAGGAATCTGGTCAATGTTTATTCATTATGTATTCACTCATTATGCAGTCTTCATGAAACATGAAAGCCTGCCTTAGTCATTAAAAAACCACATATACCCCTATGGATTCTGTTAATTTACTAACCCCAGGTTGATTTATGATTAAATCACATGTAATTATGTGACAGTTCACTTTGAAAAACTTGACTGCTATCATAATGAAATATCAAGGAAATCCAATTTTAACTGATTACTTTGTTGTAGTCTTTTTTTTTTTAATCTCTTAGAAATACAAATGGTTGTATAGTAATGTGGATGCTGTTTTCTTTCTGCCTGGGAAGGAAATTGGAGTATCTTTCTGTTAATGTAGTTTCTGACTTTATAGCTATTCCTGGCTCAGGGCTTTGCTTTTCCCATGTCTTGCTACATAAGCCGACAGAGGCATGTGGTAGCTATTACTTTCAATACGTCTCATACTATGAGTTCTAGCTTCACTGCGTCATGTTAACATGGCTCTGACATCCTAACAACCTTGGAGCCCAAACCTGCAAAATGGGGATAATTATCAACTTCATTGGCTGTCGTGATGATTCTATAGTATAATGTGAGAAAAGGAACCACCATGACGCCTGGTACATTTTGCCTGGCTTAATTCTTTACCTTTCCTTACATGTGTAATAAAAGGGCTGTGGTCATCTCACTCCAAAACAGTAGTTGACATCCTGATTCAGCCATAGTCATACAAGAACGATCTGACAGAGTGGAAGCCTTATGTATTACGTTTTCCTTCTGAATTTGGCTATACTGATTTTTTAAACAGATTTGTTGAAGTATAAATTACATACCATAAAATTTGCCCATTGCAGGTATATAGTTCTGTGATTTTCATAAATGTATGGGGTTGTGTAACCATCACCCAGTACAGTCATAGGGCATTCCCATCACCCCAAAACATTTCGTCATGCCCATTTGCAGCAGCTCACTTTCACGTTCAGCACTAGGCAGCCACCGATGGGCTGTCTTTCTCTCTAAATTTACCTTTTCTAGACACTCACATAAATGGAATGGCACAATTTGTACAGTCTTTTGTATCTGGCCTCTTCACTATGCGTAATATTTTTGAGGTTCATCCCTGTTGCAACAATGTATTAAGGTTCACCCAGAAAAACAGAACCAATAGGATATTTGTAGATATATAGAAAGAGATTATGAGGGATTGGCTCACGTGATTACAGAGGCCGAGCAGTCCCGCGGCCTGCAAGCTGGAGACCCAGGAAAGCAGTGATACAGCTCCAGTCCACATCTGAAGGCCTGAGAACCAGGAGTGCCAGTGTCCGAGGACAGGGGAAGATGGCTGTTCCAGGTCCATTAGCAGCTTTGCCCCGTCTGCTTTGTTGTTGTATTCAGGCCCGCAGAGGACTGGGTGATGGATGCCCCTCCCAAACTGGGGACGGTGATCTTCTTTACTCAGTCTGCTGGTTCAAAGGCTTGTGTCTTTTGGGAACAACCTCCCACTGACATGCCCAGAAATAGTGTTTTACCAGCTATTTGGGCATCCCTTAACCCAGTTAAATTGACCCATGAAATTAACCATCACAAGCATGTATCAAGATTTTATTCCTTTTCATTGCTGACTAGTATTTCATTGTATGGGTGTACGGGTATACCACATTTTATTTATCCGCTTATTAGTTGCTGGAAATGTGGATTGTGTCCAGCTTGAGGCTATGAAGAATAATTGATGCTATGAGCATTCCTGTACGTGTCTTTGTGTGGACATATGTTTTCATTTCTCTTCGGTAGATTCCTAGGAGTGAAATTACAGGGTTATTGTAAGTTTGAATTTAACTCTTTAAAACTGCCGAATTGTTTTCTGAAGTGGCTCCGTCACTTTACGTTCCAGCTAGCAATGCATGAATATTCCAGCTTCTCCACATCATCACCAATGCTTATACTTTTTGTTATAATTATTCTAGTGAATATGAAGTGATATTTATTGTGGCTTTAATTTGCATATTCCTAATGACTAATAATATTGAGCATCTTTTCATATACCATATTTTGGCGTGTATAATGAGCACTTTTTTAAGCCCAAATTTGTGAGGGAAAAATAAAGATGCACATTATACATGGGTAGTACTAATTCTGTATCTATTGTATAGAAATGTTTTTAATTCTGTTGTTTATGCCTATGAGTTAAAAGTGTAACTCTAGAAATCAATAACCATACCCATATGCAAAATAATACCCTGGAATATGATAATCAGTTTTGTTGAACTTATGATAAACTTTCAATGAACAAGAGTTCTTGGCTTTCTGTGATGCATAAATATCATAAATTTGTTACCGGTACATAAAATTTCTTGTACCTTGCATCTGTTCTTTTGTTTTGTAATTATTTTTTGCATAAAATTTCTCAGACCATAATACATTAAAAAAATAAATGTTAAAATTCCTTTATGATACAAAAAACAAGTACCAAAATGACAAAAATTTGAATTAAAAAATTAAAATGAAAGATGTTTTTCCCTGCAAGTTTGGGCCAAAAACATAGGTGCACATCATACACAGCAAAATACATACTTATTGCAATATAATGTCACGTGTCTTCTTTGGTGAAATGTCTGTTCAGATCATTTGCCTTTTTTTTTTTTTTTAAAGATTTTTATTGGGGAATTGGGGGGATGGGAACAGTGCTGCAGAATGGGGGAAAGGGAACAGACAAGTTGCTGTCGTTTTGTTCTTCAGTCTAGTTGTGGAGGACGTTGCTTCACTGGCCCAAGTTGGCACCATCATTGTGCTCTTCCCAGGCGAGGCTGATCAGTCGCTGGCTTCTGGACAGCCGTTCACTGCGGCTGCTGGCCACTCACGCTGGCTGCTGGCTACACACAGTAGCCCATGGCAACCCACTGCAGCAGGGGCTGCAGCCTACGCCTTCACCGGTGACTCTCGGCAGCCCAGCTCCAGGTTGAGCTGTTGTTCAGCATCTTAGCTGTAGAAGGCAGTGTCACTGGCCCTCATATGTGGGATCTGAACCAGGGCCCTCTGGCGTTCCAAGCCAGTTCTTAACCATTGCGCCAGCCCCATTTGCCTATTTTTAAATTGGGTTTTCTTACTACTGAATTGTAAGAGTTCTTTATATATTCTAGGCACAAGTCTTTATCAAATTTATATAATGCAAATAGTTTCCCCTGTGGCTTATATTTATGTTTTTGTCTATGGCTTTTATGTTCATTTTCTTAATATTTTTTTAAGCACAGATTTTTAAATTTTTGATGGGTTATGCATTTGATGTCATTTTTGAGAACTCTGACCAACGTAGAGTCACAAAGATTTTTCTCCTGTTTTCTTCTAGAAATCTTATAGTTTAACTCTAACATTTAGGTTTGTGTGTCATGTTAATTTTTGTGTATGGTGTGAGTTAGGATCTAATTTCATTATTTTTGCATGTGGCTGTCCAGTTTTCTCAGCATCATTTGTTGAAAGTACTATTTCCCCTCCCCCATTGAATTATCCTGGTATTGTTATCAAAAATCAATTGACTAGAAATATAAGGACTTGTATCTGGACTCTCATTTCTGTTCCATTGATCTATGTGCCTCTGCTTGCGCCAGTACCACTTTGTCTTACTTTCTGTGGCTTTAGAGTAAGTTTTGACATCAGGTAGTAATAAGCCTCCAACATTGTTCTTTTTCAGCATTGTTTTGACTAGTCTAGATCCTGTGCATTATCATATAAATGTTTGGTGCAGCTTGTTAATTTCTACTAAAAAGCTCACTAAGATTTTGATAGGAATTGTATCAAAATTATAGGTCAGTTTTGGGAGAATTAACATCTCAACATAATTGAGTGACTTTTTAGGTCAACTTTTCATTTGTAAAAATTTTAAACTTACAGAAAAGTATGTATGTAATTATCTCTAACTTATTTGAAAATAGGTTGCAGGTATCATGCCCATTGCCCCTGCGTACTCAGTGTGCATTTCCTAAGAATGACACTCTCTTACATGACCATGGTAGAGTTACAAACTTCACTGGATTTAACATTATTGCAACTCTTTAATCTGATCATTAATCATCCATATTCCAGTTTTACCAATTGAAAGACACTTCATAGCCTATTTTTTCCTCCTGAACAGGATCCAAACTAGAATCCCATCATTCAGAGCACTCCCTCAGCCTTTCTTTGCCTTTTATAACATTGACAGTTTTGAAAAGACATTTCTGAAGCAACATCAGAAGATTTCAGAAAATACATCGATTTACAGTTTGGAAATAATTTAAAAATTATTTTAAAATGCGTTAAGATCAATGTTTTGTGCTTTTCCTTTGTTATTTCTGCCTGCTTCTATTCATGTTGTGCTCTCCAAGTCGGAATGCCACTTAGGTGACGGCATGTCCTTCTCCAGGCGACACATCGGGAGGCACACAAGGTCGGTCTGCCCTTCATTGGTGACCATTTTCACCCCCTAGTCACGGCGGTGTTGAGCTCCTCCACTATGTAACTACCATTTTCCTCTTCCATTTAGTAAGTGCTCAGACTTTTCTTTTTGAACCAGTATTTTAGATTTTTCTCAGCATCCCTCGCAGGGAGAGGAACTACCCCTGTACTTGCAACACTACAAGTAATTGCTACCCCCAATGAAGGGAGCGTCGATAATGGCATTAAAACCTGAAGATCTTTTTAATATGTATTTAAGGCTTTTGCCTAATGGATGATGAGAATTAGAGAAAGCTGCTACCGAGTGGATGACAGTTTTCTTATCCACTGTATTCTAATACAAGATTAACTCCTTTCCGCTGTTCTATTAATATCTCCAGTTAGACTTCCCTGATTTGATCCCTGCCATGCTTGTTCATGAATAAATGAATGGAGCTGTGTTCCTGTAGGAATTTTTAAGGGTTTGTGGGGGTTTTTTTCTATTCTATCAAATCAAGATAAACGATCAGCTTAAAAGGAATGGCTCAGACTTTATTGGAAAGAGTAATACTTGGAGAGAAAAAAACATTTTCAATAGCTAGGGAAAATTAAAAGGATGATGACAAATCCAAAGCGTGTGCCACGTCTCATCATTATCTTGGCATCCAGTTAATAGGAGAGGATGACTGCTTTGTTATTAAATTATGTAGATGCTAATTGAAGGCACAACCAAATAAGAGGATCAGTTGCCTTCAAAAGCACTTCCAGATTATTAGCTGTGATGTCAGCTATGGAACGCAGTTTCTAGACCCATTTGCAATTCTCAGACTGAATACTTCTCCTAGGAACATGCATGCTTTGGGAAGGCACAGTTGTATAGCGGGTCTTCATGGCGAACATTCATTCTCAGAGTCACTTTTGCATCTGAAGATGGAAGCGTTCCCCCATAATATATTACAGCCTGGGTCACCAGGAAGATGGATTAGACTTTGCCTAAAAGTCTATGGGGTGATGTTGGGTAGCATCAGTTTAGGATTTGAAATGCCCCAGGCCATAGAAATGGCTCAGCCCAACCCCCAAAGCTCATGACAATTGATACATCTCTCTGAGAGAAATTACAATAACAACCTGGATAGCCCTTTACCCTTTGGTAAGCACTCTTGGAAATACCTCCTTTGAGGCAGATAGTCAAAGTGACTTGGTTTAAATCTTGCCATCACTATCTCCTGACTGTGTAATCTTAAAGCTGTTTCACCTCATTGTGAGAGATAAGAGTGGATCTGTAATATGGAGATAACAGTGGAGCCCTGCTCTTAAGTTGTGGGAACAAAATGGGGTAATATTGATCAAGCGCTTAGAACAATGCCTGGCACACAGGAAATGTATAATACAAGTATTGATCATCACCTTAATATCCTACTGAAGAAAGTAAAGACATGGATTAATATCCTGTTTTGATGAATGAAGTTGAAACCAGCAGTTTGATCATTTGCCTATCATCACACAATAATTGATGGAGGACCTAAGACAGCAGGAAGCCACTCTGAGCCTTTGAGTTCTGCTTAAGTCCCTAGGGAGGGTTCCTCTTCCCTCCAGTCTCCTGAGCATTTTATCACATTAAATAGTTTTGAAGCATAGAAGGCCCTGAGGACCCCACCTGGATATATGGAACAAGGCCTGGACCAGATAATGTCCCCACAGAAAGGCTTGGCCCCTTGCCCCAGCCCCCAAGCCCTCCAGAGCTTGGATCTATGATAGCTGCCACAGATTCAGTGAGCAGCCAGTCAAATGGGGGCAGGAAAAACACGACTCCCACTGCCCCCTGCCCCTTCCATGCTCCCAGCTAACCCAGCAGGAAATCTCACTGGTGCACTGGCTCCACCAAACCCAACAGCCACAGTGGCAGCAGCAAAGGTAAAGTTAGGTCTCCTTCAGAAATAAAGACCAAGGAAGTA